TCAAAGAATTCTTCGGGGATGGGGTCAGCAGTTGGTTCATCCTCTGGATCGTGGTAGGGTTCCAGGTATGGGTGGCGCAAAGCGTCTTCGACACTGATGCGTTTGACAGGATTGAATGCAAGGAGCTTCTCAAGCAGGTCCAAAGCCAGATCGGAGGTCTTGGGGAAAAGAGCTTTCAAGGGTATCTTCTTTTTGAACGGAAGGGATCTGATATATTCTCGAGCGCGACGCGACTTGATGCCGTAATAGTCTTCCATGGTTGGTGTTCCAAGAACGTCGAGGATAAGGGTAAGTTGGTGGTGATCTGGGTTCATTTAATCGGGTTAGCTATGTTTTTTATTCAAAAGAGATAAAAAATAAACAACAAAAATTCTAATGTATATTGACAGACGGGTTGGGAATTCTTACAGTCCTTGCCAGGAAACAGGGGTTTGCCGTTCAACATTTCCGCTAATATGCAACCAACGCTCCACACATCAATCGCTTTGGTGTATTCTTTGAAGGTCAACATGATTTCCGGGGCACGATACCAACGGGTGGCTACATATTCTGTCATAAATCCAGAGTTGTCGTCTGTTGAAGCAGCGGAACGGGCTAGGCCGAAATCACAGACTTTCAGATCACAATTCGCGTTAAGGAGCAAGTTGGATGGTTTCAGATCACGGTGAAGAACGTTCGCAGAGTGCATAGCTTTCAGGGCTCGCAGGGTCTGGTAGATAAAGTACTGGCAATGGTCGTCGGAAAGGTCCTGGGTTCGGATCACACGGTGCATATCTGTCTCCATAAGTTCCTACCGAAAGGAGATATTAGCTTCGCGGGCAGAATTTTGTGAAGCTCGCGACGTACCTGGATGAGGTATACTTCAGTAAAGCTCTCGTAGTTACGGGGCTTCTGGATGTCGAGGATAGAAATGATGTTTTCATGATTGAAGTATCTCAAGAGTTTCATCTCGCGCAGCGTGCGCAGACAGAACATCGAGTGATCGAACGGGGTTATCTTCTTTATAGCGACCTTCTGGCCAGATGGTTTGTGGAGGGCGGAGCTAGAACCTATCAGAGCTGCATACTCAAAACAGCTACACTAGAAAAGCGATACTCACCAGACAACACCATATGCGCCTTCGCCAATCACATCCTGGATGTCATACTGATCAGAAACATTGAAGGATATCTTCCTCGACCCTCCCAGGGCCATAGCGAAAGCTGTTGATGACTAGGAGTGACCCAAGTTAGTATTCGGAATGGGGCCAAAGGAGCAATAATAGGGAAACCGGGAGTCCGAAAGAGACATTTGCTGAATTAACAAAAAGATGACATGAGATATGCACTGTTAACTAAGGATTTGCACTTTTAAAAGGTAGAGTACATAATGAACAGAAGAGCTTCAATCTGGGTGGGGGGACACTAAGCCTGAAACCCAAGTGCAGGGGAAAACAATTATTTACCTCGAGTTGAGGCACAGGATGATAATAAGAGCTTGGCCCTAATATCGATCTCAAACGCGTCACAAGGCAGTTTATGCCATTTTTTTAGCCACTGTGGGGTCCATTGTCTCCGCCGTGGCTGATTCATACTGCGGAGCGGCCGGGTGCAGACGCAAAATAAGGAGATGATAAATTGAGTAGAACAGAAAAAAAGACATTCAGAAGAGAATGAAATGCCGAGTCAAAAGGAAAGACATCTAAAAGAACGTTGTCATGCACAACAAAATCCTTCAGACATGACGGAATAGCAATAATTGAAGGAACAAAGCACAGACTTGAGAGAGTAAACAAAGAGTTTTGAAGGAGAGACAAAGCTGACATCTTACATTTGTTCACACTCGAGTCGAATCAACGACAACTCTGCGGTTCTTTGATTCTCTTGGAGAAGAGCCAGTTCAATCTCCTGGCTGCAATCCACTTGTATTGAATCAATATCAAACTCAATGATCCTGTGGTTGCTATCTCCTATTGAGTGGTGAATTGGTGATAGAAAGCGGGACGGCAGTTCCTCCTGCAGAGAAGTATGGGATAAAAAGGACGGAGATCAGTCAGATTGCAGGGATGGCTATTAGGTTTGGCGACGTTTTGGATGTGGTGAAACGGTGTTGTAGTTGCATGTAACGGGGATTGGAAGATGACAGATGAAGGGATATAGGATCGAGTCGTCGGATAAGGGTCGATGGGATGAAAGGAAGACGGCCAATGAGGGGAAGGGAGGGGAGAGCGGTAAATGGCTTAGTGGAGGAGGAGGAAGAGAAGAAGAAGAAGAAGGAGGAGGAGGAGGAGGAGGGGGAGGGGTGAATGCGCAAGCCTCGAGAACTATGGCATGGTCAGTATCATTTTTCGTTGTTGTTAAATGAATATCAGCAATCCACCGGGACAAGGTGATGGGAGGCGTTGTTGGTGACGCGATGAGGTGGGGATTGGGAGGGGGGATGTGGGATGGAGTTGAGTGTCATACCACTCTGCAGTCAAATACTCGACTTCGACTCTGGGGTCTTAAGAGCAAGAGACCCAAACTAGCGCTGCGTCTCTTGGTCTTTTGGTGGAGTGTTGGCAATTGTCTCCGTTATTGTTTACTGAGTGAGTATATGACAGTGATGCGGTCCGGACAAGGGATGCATGCAGTTAGTTATTTATG